TCCTCGAGAGCCTGACGAAGCTGATCTTCGGTATATTGAGGCATTATATATAGAAGAAGACATGTGCAAAAGATGAGCCCATTTGGACGCGAATTGAAAATGTTGTGATAAAAGGAGGTTGGGGGTGGGCATTGGGTTGTGGTGGATTTTCGCGTTTTTGTGGGTGCCAGAAACAGGGGGGTGCCAGGAAGTGGGTATGTTGACTTACAAGGTAGTCATTGACAAAAGTAAGAACTCAACAACTACAGCAAACTCTAGTCGCGAGCTCGCAGGGTCGCTGTCCTTGAACTAAGACTTGCAAACACACTACCAAGTGCCAGTCAATACCAAAGTCCAACCGAAAGTGGTCATGACTTCCAGCAAGGACTACGTTTTCAAGGAGGTTGGCAATACGTTGATTGAGGCAACGGCTCACTGGAAGCCAACAAAGAGTAAGGAGCCAAAGGGGCTTGGTAAGTCTTTAATCGATCGTGTCGACTACCTTGTGACTGAATGTTCCCAGCTCTGGCTCTCCATGGAGGAGGTTTCGTGATAGGATCCAGACATGCGTTGCCAGATGTTGAAGTTGGGTATCTTGCCGACGCAAACTTTGTTGTCGTATCAGCCGACTATCGACTTTGCCCACAAGTTCCCTTACACGACGTAATTGAAGACGCTATCGACGTTTTCTCTTGGTGCAAGACGGAGCTTCCGCAAAAGTTCGAAGCGGACACTGGCTTTAGGATTGACGCACGAAAGGCGGTGGTTTTCGGGCAATCTGCTGGAGCACTCTTAGCTTTACACTTGGTGAGTTACCAATGCTTCCGGTCCCAGTTTGATACCCAAAACTCAACATCTCATGAATAGGGTGCTCTGGCGGAACCTCCCCGGGCGATTCTTGACTTTTATGGCGTCAAGTACGTCAGTGATGAATTCTGGCACAAGCCTTTGCCTGCCTTAGCTGCCATTCCGACACTGCCACAGGCTTTAACCGACAAAATCTTTGAAGAACCGGTCATGACGACCACTGTCACATCCCTAGAAAAGGCAGCTGCGTCTCAAGATGGGGAGAGAAAAAGGGGCATGCCAGCACCCGATCTATCGGTTCCTAGAAACGCCTGGCTATTCGCAGCATTGAAGAACGGGACGCAGATGAAGTCCATCGTCAAAGACGATGACTTCGACCGCGTCGACCCTGTTAAAGTGTTTCACCCAAAATTCCCCCCAACCTTTTTTGTGCATGGGGATAAGGATGGCTTGATTCCCAATGCCTTCAGCGAAAGGGCTTGTAGGGAGCTGAGCGAGCTGGGAGTGAAGGCGCGTATCTCTTTGATTCCAGGCCAATCCCATGGTTTCGATGCCGGCTTAGGAGTGGATGACCCGGAATGGCCGCAGGTACGCGATGCGCTGGACTTTCTCATCTTCTACGGAAACAAAGCCATCTGAGGTGCACGCATCCTGCTAGAGATTGAAATCGAAATTAGACTCAGAGAACCCCAGCTGCTCCCACAAGTCCAAATTGGGTAGTCCTGTTTCGAAAGAGATGATACTGCTGTCAAATGTTGTGGTTTCCGGTCTTGAAGAAGTTAGAAAGTCTGCTGGTAGAGAAGTCAAGCTGAAGAACTCACTGGCGGTGTTCAATGTCTTCGAGTACTTTGTCAAAACACTGGACGGCAAAAGCGTGCAATCTATCAGGAAACATTCGAAGAAGACTCCTCAACTTTATCACCATATCTCGCAAATCGACAGACGCTGGATTCTTGATGATTCTGATGAGAAGCACCAGTCCGCAGGTCACTGCATGGTACGAATCAAACCAGAAGTGGCTGGTAAGTACATCCCTTTCCTGCATCTCGATCAGCGTTGCAATAGTCTTGTTGTTGCTCTCTTCGCAGATGTTCATTCGATGGTCGGCATCAGACCCTGAAAAGGTAGCATTAAACAGGTACGATTGAGTCAATAAGACGATGATGCAATGATATCTCAATCGTAAGTACAGCGTGGCGCGCAACAATGATGGGGGGATTGCTGCTGCAGGTATGGTCAGGTGCTGAGGCAGGCTCTCCCACCATCCATAAAGGTCTTGAATCAACCGATCGATAGCATTGCCATTATCGCAATGTTTCTCGGAGTTGCACTGAAGGGTACGAGACAGAAGCCGTGTAAGGCGTGCTGAGGCGAAGGCATACATGGGCGGCATGTTTGGGGCTCCGATGAGGTTCTATGACGTGATGTTAGTTGAGGATTGCATTTCAATGACTTGCACTGGATTACATCTGAAGGCGAACCGATGGTACTTAGATCAACGGTGATTCCTAACGATCTCCCCAGAACGCTGGTGAACCACTGGTCCAAGTCGCATAATGACCACCAAAGCTTGGTTTTCTGTTCCGCCCACAGGGGACTTTCGTCGTCAGTTGCTACGTGCAACCCAAGTGACTGAGCAATTCTGATGGCGCTGCCGAGGACGACCCAAGAAGTGTTCCGCTGGCTTTTCTTTAGCCGGTACAAGGCCTAAGCTCAGTGAGCTGCATTAGCTGAGTTCTTGATCGGTGAAGTAGAAGTAAAAAGCATTATGACTGACCATAACAATAATCGCCTGGATACTCTCGACACTCCCCTCCTCGATGACACTCTCCATCTTCTTTGAGGCAAGCTCAAAATGATGTGGATCGTCGTCAATGAGAGCAACGATGAGCTGAATCATGGCTTGGGTCGACACGCTCACTTCTGCATTTCCGTGGGCTCTCACTATTGCATCGAAAAGCTTTTCTGGGCCGAGGACGTAAAATACGCAGTTGACGAAGCGAAGAAAGACAACGCTGCATCTTTCGCATGTCTTTCTGTCGGGAAGTGCTGCATCCTGTTTATTCGACAGCGGTTCGCCTTCACGCAAGTCAAAGGTGCCACTGGGTTGCAGTGCCGCGAGCCGAGGGAAGCTTCGTGTGATGCACAGGCTGACTTTGGATTGAAGGACCGCGTAGCTTGAGGCACCGTTGAATCCTAGGGGGCGATGAGTAAATGCGAGATTCTTGTTAGACCGAATCGCAAGTCTACTCACTTCGCTGGCGTGTTGCATCTGAGATGAACGAGCCCTCTGACATTGGTGACGCCGAGTCCTTAGCAGCGACACCCGGTAGTAAGTGCCCGCCATCGACCGGCGAGCATGACGAAGTATCCGCAGGTGGGACTTGCTGTGCAAGTTCCGTGGGAAAGTCAGGTTGTTGGGGTGCCGCCTGGAGTTTGCTGACAAAAGTGCGCAGGCTTTCAACGCTTAATGGGATACCAGGAGCATAGTGCTGGACAATGGCGGCCATCAGTTCGAACTGCTCCTTCGAAGTGTGATAGTAGGGACGGATGCTGGCTTCATCAGTGACAACGCAATCTAATCCGAGGCGCTCACACCGGTGACAGGATCTGGACGTCGGTTTGTCGCACTCTCATAGTCAGTACGAGACTCAGTCATTGATGTAGCTCCATTGCTCACTTTGATCTTTCGCCGTCTGCAATTGACGCAGCTAGAGGGCAGCCGGCCGGCTCGGCGCGTTGTTGTACTCATGCTGGCAATGACGGAATTGCTTCAAATCGAGGCACGTCTAAGATTGAGATGATTCCGATTGCCCAGCGAGGAAGCCATCATCACCAGACCACGGTATCACATAGAACGCAAAGGGCAGGCCAGGAGCCTTGGAGCCATGAGCATGGTCATACTCAGAGGCAACACTTGAATGCTGTGGGGATCTGTGCTAGCCTGTGGTCCCGGCGTTGTAACCGTAATAGCACGGCCCATTTGGAGTGATGTTAGGCACGAAACATTGGAATATGCCGGCTAGATCAGACTTCCTTCAACATAGGGACTATAGAACTCATTGTTGATGCATAAGCTTCTGATTCTATATGACTCGTGTTGAAAAGCGTCATGATCTCGAAACATCACGGGTGAAAGGGGAGCGGCATGGCGACGGAGGGCGGACAATAGGGTACAAACAGAATCTAGGGGAGAGAGACCCACAGCGGTCACCGCTCTCCGTCCCATGCCGCATTCTTTGAGTTCGGCAGTCGAACACGGTCTCCGCGCTGGACACACCCATCGGTGACCGTGGATCCTCGATCCTTGTACTCAGGCGCTATCGGCGATCTGGGAAGTACTCACTTCTGTCTGCGAGGATATCAAAGACTAGTAACGAGAAATGATAAATTACCGTATTACGGAGAAGAGAACATGTTGTGTCTTCATTGCCACGCTTCGAATCGTTGCAGAGGAGTCAACAAATCAGTGAACACAATTCCAAATGAGCCATGGAGACTCAGAACGCGACGGTCAATTGGCCCTATTCCAGTCCCCAAGTCGCTGCCATCATCTCTGCAATCTTATGTTTGGTATATCAAACTGACATCAATATGCCTCCAAACATTGGACTCTAGACTGACTCTAGTAGCTGGCGATCCCTCTCATTTACAATGTGATCTTCCACCCTCTGGCCCGAGTCCCGGGGCCTTTCTTGGCCAAGTTCAACGACTTCTGGCATGCATACCAACTATACACAAATATGAGACATGAGACGCTCTGTAAACTTCATGATAAATACGGTAATCACTACAATCTGCTGCTCTCAATGGTATTAGCTAACATGGATGGCTAGGTCCTTTGGTGCGCTTGGGCCCGAGCACTGTCTCTGTGAACACCACAGAAGGATTCCAAAAGGTTTACTCGGCGACATCACCAATCGACAAGTCGCCATTCTATCAGAGCTTCACCCCAGGTTTCCAAAGTAGTTTCTCTTCGATGGGTCCTGCGTACAAAGAGAAGAAGTCTATTCTCTCTCAAGCATTTGCTCAGAAGAAGCTAGACGCCATGGAACCAGCATTCATGGAGCATATTTGGAACCTTTGCGAGGTGATGAAAAGTCAAGCTAAGGTCAATTTAGATGATTGTTTATCAGCCTTGACAGTTGACATCCTATCGGACGTTTGTTTCGGCGAAACGTTTGATTTACTTCACAATCCCACAGAGAAGGCGAACATCAGCGATGGTTTAGTGCAGGCAGCAAAATTTGTCTCATTGGTACCAATAAACGCCTTCGATTGTTCCATACTCCAGGCAATTTGACTAAGAGAGTTTTAGGAAGGTACACTCTGGAGATGGCCTTTGTTGCAGCGCCTAATTCGAAAGTTCTCGTACAACCATACGACGCGGGGCTATCCAGCGAAGGTGAGTCTGCCTTCTGTTTCAAGCAACATCGTCAACTGAAATGCGTAGATGGCGATTGGCGCCATGATCAAACAGAGACAGAATCCTTCGGGTAGGCAAGACATATTCAATTACCTACTTACGGCTAAAAGTCCCACCACCGGTACGCCGTTTCCTGATCGTGAGCTGTTCGGTGAAGCGATCGTCATGTTTGTAGCAGGGTCTGATACCACATCTACTGCGCTGTTGACAATATTGTGGCATCTTTTGGCTCATAAAGATGCATATGACAAGGTGGCCTTGGAGGTTAGATCTACAGTCACGACGCGTGATGAATTGAACTACCACAAGATTCAGCACCTACCATATCTAAGAGCTGTGATTGAGGAAGGATTGAGAATCTTCCCACCGAATGCAGGTTTCATTCCGAGACAGGTACTCCAATCCGACGGAGCCTTCGTTCTCCACGGCATACCTCTGCCAGTGGGAGTAAGTCGATATCATCGTCTATCTCAACCTCAAGAGCGTGGACACTGACATCATCCCTTCTCAGACGGAAGTCGGCGTTGCAAACATGGCGATGCATAGGAACCCCAAGTATTTTGAACGACCAAACGACTTCATTCCAGAACGCTGGATCGGCGATGGCCAGTCTGCGGTAAAGGATAAATCAGCTTTCTCTCCCTTCTCCAAGGGCCCAAGGGCGTGTCTCGGAAGAACGTAAGGGGTCCCGTTTTAGCTTCTAACAGACCATTGCTGAACTTTGTTCCAGAATGGCATACATGGAGATGTCTATAGCTTTGGCAGCAATGTTTTTGGAGATGGACATGGAATTTGAGGATCCCGGTTCTGAGGCAAGACAGGGTTACACAGCGACGGATTCTTTCGTTCTCGTACGACCAAAAGTTAGGATCGTTGTAAAATCTCGCCGCTGAAAGGACACAGGCAATCTGGAGGGCATTTGAGTCTCTTCTCTGGTGGGAAGCAGCCCCTCTGTTGCGATCTCAGCAAAGCGGCAGGGGCTGCAGCAGAAGCCACTAATGGAAGAAGGCACAGGCCATGAGACATGTTCACAAGAACATGCTGTAGAGACCGATCGGGTTCGAGATCTTGGTTGCAAAGACGGGAGCAATTTAGGCTAAAGGAGTTGATCTCATTCACCCCTGCTAATCTGATCACGGGAATCGGCGAGGCCCCAGCCAGGATGCTCCCATGCATGAGAGTCTTGAATACTTTAGTCACCAGGGATAGCAATGAAGAGAACCATATGGCGATGTAGAACAAAATGGCCTTTTGATAGTAATTATAGGAATATCTTGCCAAGAACCCACGCCAATATCCCACATCAGCCGCCCATGTTGAATAAAGTAGTAAAGAAAATGGTATCTAGTAAGTAAAGAGTGATATCTCCAACGCCAACGTGATCTCTGGGCTTAATAGGTCGTCCCTCAATGGTTCAAAGTTTCTTCGTATCAATACAGCACTATTTGTAGAGGGACTGACTCATGAGAAACCCCTTGCCTCAACTTTCTGTGAGGAGACCTGCACAATATCGCACTTAACCTCGATCGGCGCTCCTGGCTGCAGCTCGATCTCGTCATCAGAGACTCTCCTTCCCGCTTCGATTCTTGTTTCGACGACGGCGTGGTGGTTTGGTCTATATCCGCCCAATTCGATAGACTCCTGTTGCCGTGATGGAGACGGCATCTTATCGGTCTGACTGGTGAAATCCGGGCTATCTCTCGAGGCTTGGATAGGCAGCCCTGTCTCGCGGCTCGCATCAGAGTGGCTCAAATCGTAGCTGGCGATGCCATAGAGATCAGCCTTGCTGTCCGCCGAGCCAGTTCGTCGTTTCGAGTAGCGGGCAGAGTAGTGATTCGGGTTGCCAAGTGTACCACCGAGCTCGGGATCGCGGTGGCGTGAGGTACTTTCGGTGTTTTCAGAATAGTCTCCGTTCTTGTGGTATTTCGAGGATTTCGCAATACGGCTCGACAGGGCGGGAATGAATCGAGAGACCAAGGGTCGGAATGTCGGTAGGCAAGCGCAGACGAGTCCACAGCAGAGCTCGCCGATGGACCAACCGGCGGTCTCGACATTTTGCCAAGTGAAGTCTTCTTCGAGCTTGAGGAATCGGATTCGGATGAAGGATATGGTACATGTGCTATTCAAAGATTAGTCGGAGCCCGGAATGGTCGTGTGATCACGGGACAAGACATACAAAAAGCCCAAACAGAAGATACCAAGCAAGACATATTTCTGGCCTCGGGCCAGATTCAGTCTGTGAATAACTGGCAGCGGCAGCACAAATACAATAATGTCGGTGATGATATTGCCTGCTGCGTTAATGTACCATTGGGGGTAGTTCGGGATGCATTTGCCATCAATGGTCTTGTCCCAGAATGCCGGGATAGGGGTACAGATGAAGATCTCGACAAGGATCTGCGAAATGCTCCATGCGCCGACTATTACCATGGCCGCAATGAAGACCTTCTTCATCTTTTGGACGGCCAGGACTCGGTAATATTGAAAAAGGAAGGTCATCTTGATACCAGCCAATGCTGCATTATAGAATACAATGGTGACGTAGAATGTCTTCGAAGTGTTAATAGGTGTGCGAAATGGATTGTATCAGACATCAACTGACCTTCATGTAGTCTTGAATTTGTTCCGAAGTAAGAAAGTAAACATGATGACCGAGGCCATTTCTGGTGTCTTCAGGTTGTTAGATACCATCTAATGGAGCCGTAGATATATATGACTCACTCAGTGCGACAGCCAAGCCGCATCCAAGAACCAACAGCTACAGAGTTGTGGTCAGAATCAGGTTCAAGGGATGGAGAGGACTTTCCAAAACCTACAAAAGCAAAGACGGATGCCCAGTCATCCATACCAAATTGCCGTATCACGAATATTCTGGTGTACACTCGTATTGATACAGCCAAGAAGGCAACTGAAAGCACAAAGCTCGTGACGCCGACGACGATTGGTACCCGCGAGTCGTCCGCGCTCATTCCTGGAGGGACCTCCATGCTGCCTGTGAACTCTCCCTGAACAATGTTGACGGCTATGCTTGGTTGGTAGTGGAATTAAGAAGCATCGATAGTCCACGAGGACTGGCACGTGGCAATGTGCTTTTTCGTTCCCTTCAACGGCGGCTGATGATGGGGATAGGTGTGGGACGTCGGACGACGAAATGCATGGGAATCTAAACGCCGAGGGATGCTGTCTTTGTATATTGACGAAAACTTGGCTTTGCCAGCCTTGACTGGTCTTAGATCGAAGGGGCACCTATGCGCGGGTGTGGCTCGAGAAAGGGGCAGAAGACAGAGAGGGTGTGAGACATCAACGAGAAGGAGCTGCCCGCAAAGACTGCTACACTAGCACGCCTCGCACGCTCGAGGGACCCTCAGGTTTTCGATATTCCGTGTCTCATATGGCTTAGACGTGGAGACCACTGTGGGATCGACGAATCTATTTCCAAGGATACTGTCGATTGCCTTTGGGCAGAAAAAGCGCAATGCAGGAGCCGTGCGCGCGGTAGACTGCTCGGAATACAAGAAGACAGCTGGGCGGAACTAGCACAACGGTCGTGGCTTCTTCTCTGATGACACCCTTTGTGCAGTTTTTGTACACTTGCATGACGACCTAACGAATTGGCAAATGGGGAGTGACACCTTGTTTACTAGCGGAAAAGCCGTAGCGTGTAAGCTATGCCGGGACGGCTCCGCGTGTCGTTATGAAGGTTTAGATGAACTAACGGGCCTTCGATTCGTCATGTTAGACTACACCCGGAAGGTGGGAAAAGGAGAGGAGGGTGGCAGGTAGTGGACAGTCTGCGGTGTTGTTTATTCTCGACGCGCAGATGACGGCAATCTCCCGGCTTTGCTGGCACGCTGGCTGGCACGCTGACGGCGCATGGATTTGGCGGCACTGCATTCCTCTTGTCGCGGGCCAGGGCGGCAGGCATTCTGGGATTTCTTCCATTTTGGAGATGCGGCGATTCAGCTGCCATCGATAGAGAGACTTGCAATGTCTCAGACCACCTCCTGGCATGTGCAAATATGGAGCTGGGAACTTGGGAGTCGGCCCCGAGTTGGAGTCGATGTCTGTGTGTCCAAGAGATAGCCCAATGATGATCGGCTGGACAGGGTGATAGGCTCGAACCCCGGGGATCCAAAGTCGTATACCGTCCCTGCTAGCCCGGGATAGGGACCGGGGTAACTCCTGTCCGCTTCTCGGTGAAAGAGGAGACTATCGCGGGGATTTATGTCGCCAGGGTCGCGGCTGACTCGCATTTGAGAGGTAGTGGTTGTTGGCGCAATTGCCAGGCATCGGCGATCACTGCTGACGGGCAGGAAAAAGAAATTGGGCATCAAATAGACTACGAAGCATTCTGCCGGGCCGAAGACAGATATTGAATAAAGCCATGGACGAATGACCTTGACTAAACTATCTGTTCATCTGATCGGCAGACTGACTTTGGCTTCCAGAATCGGGTGAAACAGAGACAGTTCAAAGGTCCCTTTTCGTAAGACCAGCCAGATCATAGATGGCTACTTTACCCTCTTGCGTAACAGTGTGCCGACAGCGACTCGGCTACGGAAATCATCTGAAAAGATGATGATTATGACCGTATCTGTTTCCAGCAAATTTCTCGCTCTCGCACGAAAGAGGTAGTAATTATTTTAGGACTTTGGGCGTCTCAGCCGCGCTCTCACCGGTGCCGACTACTCACTACGGAGTATGGGAGGGCAGATTCGTTATTGCAGCTCAACAGAGCAAATTCGGCGACGGCGGCCGAGCCGGTGAAGGGAGACCCACCTAAGTTCCTTGTTCTTCGCTCTCGTCGTCGAATCCAGCCTTTCCAGCTTGGCGTTGAAGGACCCTGGCACGCCTGGCAAGTCTGGCAGCCTCTTCGAAGCGTGGATCTGGTAAATCATGCCACTCAATGAATCGCATTGGTTAGAACCTGGCAGGCGAGGGTCTGAGCGTAACCACGCCGTCGGAGGGACGAGCCGGGGGGGGGAAACGGGCAATGAATACTCTGCAACGCCTCTCGACTTGATTTGGACGACCGTCGATACAAAGGCCCGTTTAGCTCCGACGTTTGGCCCGACGATGGCGTGTCTTGCTACGCATTGTTTGTTCTCTTCGTACCATATTCAAGCCACAGCTGCGGCAACGAGAAATAAACTTCAGCCCATTGCCACTAGATGAGCCAGTGACGTTCCCCGCGGAGTGAAGGATCAGCGGCTTTATTGACGGACATGGTGGGATATGGAAAACCTGCTGAGAAGTTTGACAGGTACATCTTTCTGCACTGCAGAGCACGGTCCCAGTGTCAAGCGTGTCACCCGAAGTGCAATACAGATAGACGATGGGCATGCTCAGAAAAGAAGCCTGCCGGGAGCATCAGCACGACTATCCGAACGAATTACAGATAGGAGAGATTTCGAGAGGCACCCGAAGACCGGAACTAGCCCCGCTCATTGCAGGGACTCTGGAAAAGGGCATCACGTCAGCCCGCGGCACGGCTGATAGGTTCATCGTAAAGCGCATTGAAGCATTTGTCCCACTATAGGCACCTCAAAGATGGCCCTTTCTCCCTTCCCCGCTGCCAGTTATAACATTGAACATCAAGTGACTTGACGGTGGAAGGTCCGAGAGCTCAGCATCATCACTGCGATCCTGCACGCCTTTCTCACAGGAACGAGTAATATGTTCTATCGAAGCAAACAACACGACGTCGACTTCGATCTTGCAACTTTGCAAGTGGGCTTTGTCGGTGCGCAATGTCCACCAGAAAAGGTTCGTCTCGCGAGATCTACTGGCTCATGAAAGTTGAAAGGGGTCAAAGCCAAACTCCATCCGGACTTCGTTTACCAGACTTTAGCGCCAAGGGTCTGCTTACTACTTTGAGGGTGTTTTTCTGGAGACACGCGGGGCAGTACAGGGCGTCGTTGAAGATCGCTGCATGAGGGTGCCTGCACTCTGACGGCTCCATCAGTACTGAAGAATAATGACAAACCGTCAAACGCGGT